TACACTAATCACTTATCTCTGCGGTAGCACATGATCTAGCAGGGTCCAGTGGCTCACTGTTATGCTCAGGTGGAAATTTCCCAAATCTGTCCCTATATGTTGTTAAATCATCCTTACTACTATTTGTATGTATATTCTGACGAATACCAGTAGATACTCTAGTTGAAGACTTCCTCAACTATCTAAGCTCTCGAAAAAGTATAGTGCGAGGCATTCGTTTTGGAAGTGCTGGATTGATTTTATACCCGCCTCCCCACAGGTTCATCAGATATTGTTAATCGGTTGATCGCAGCCTGATAAGCGCCCTAAGTCTACAAGTGGTCTTAGCTGAAGTGTTTTTCAAGTAGATGTCTTTAAGTTCCACAGCAGAAGAGATGGTTCGCCACTCAAAGTAGTGCTTCGTGCACTTACTTCTTCTACTCAACCTCTCGAGCCCTAACCGCCAAAATAACGTAAGTGAAATTTTTTCAAAATTTTTTTTTTTTTTTTATGCAGAACTATTCCTAGAGCATCTAGATGCGTTTCTGCATCAAAAAGAAAGTTTTGAAAAAAACTTCGCTTATGTTATTTCTTCGGTAAGGGCTCGATATTGTCTATCTAGGGAATAATCAACCGTAGTAGTCTGACTTTCTTAAGTTAAAAGTACACAAATTCAGGGAGTTTTTAAAAAGCTTCCGGTACCAAACGGATGGTACCTTGTACAGCATTTCTAAGGTTTGCCTATTCCAAAAGTTACGAAGAATTCTTAATACCAATAAAGATGAATAGAGTAAAAATCTATTGTGATTATGTTATATCCAAGGCCTGAATAAACTTGTTGGCCTTAAAAAAGTCCACTACCAAAGCTCAAGCTTGTGCTGTGGTAATTTAAAAGCCAATTAAAGATCATTTGAAAATTTTTTAAAATTCTTATAAATTTTTAGCACACAAAAATAACAAAAAAAAATTTCACAAAAGGATTAAAAAATCAAATCACAATTGTTAACAAACATCAGAGGAAATAAATAATAAATCATCACAACTCCGAAAAATATCTCGCTGTCATATAAGGGTATATATTGTACATACTACATACATACATATACGCACTATCACGAAAAGATAACAAAAAAATATTGCAAAGTCAAACTTTAACCCATTAATGACCGAGAAGACCAACTAAAACTAGTTCTTAAAATAACTTTTCTACACCCGTTATTGGTTTCATTTCATCATGATTTAGCTTACTTAAGAATAGTGCATAATTACCATAATTTCAAACAAAGAAAAACTTTGAAAATGTATTTCATTTTAATCATGGTACTTATGACCTTAACGGTCTTGAAAGGGTTAAAATCGATTTCGCTGTTGTTTTCAACTTTTTTTGTTTTTGTAGCTACACTTTCTTTTTGAAAGTTCACACTTTATTTCGTCCTTTTTCACCAACTACACATAAATTTATTATGCTATTAACCATACATAAGTCACATACATACATATGAACTTACTACTATGGAAACCGGCTCACATGTTGCACTGTTGTTTCATCTCACACAAAAAATAATATCAAAAATTCACATGCACTTTACAAAAAGTTACAGATATTTCACATGTTCACCTTTGAGAAAATGAAGAAATCAAACATAAAAAAGTACCAACACCTATTGTACGAAAAGTGTTATTTGTAATAATGAAAACTCGTATATATACATATGTACGTATGTACATATATACGTATAAGAACAATTAGCAAATAAATAAGAAAACTAAATAAAACAATGTACTTTAAATAAATTAAATGAAAAGGATAATAATTTTAGTAAATAATGTTTATATTATGTGAGTAAGAAAAAATAAATAAATAAAATAAAATGGTGTATGTAATAGACATTGTCATGTTGAATTTATCATAAAATAATATCGATGGCGAATAAAAACAAATAAAAATAAATTAAATAATAATTACAGTGTGAAAGGTTAAAGAATAAATAAAGACGGAAATATTAATTTAAAAATACCTGATTATTTTTTAAATTTTTTATTATCAAAATAATACTTTACGCTACACAAAGGCATTTTTTAGAGCTTTGATATTCCGATATACGGTCACAACCACGATTGAGAGAATACAAAGGTTGCGCCGATCTCGGACCGCTATTCCTCTCTTAACGAATTTGACAGAATCGTGGTTTGCATGACGTCACACTTGTGCAACTTGTTTACGTTTTCCTTGCAACATTTTTTCTTCTTCTTCCATTCTTGCTCACGTTTTGGCATTTCTCTCTCGCAATTGCACCAGTGTGACGTCACACAAAAGTTATTCTCAAAAATCCTCTCTGATCGGCGCAATCTTGTATTCTATCATTCTTGGGTCACAACTATTATCAGCTGTGCTCAGTTTGGTTTGAGTGAACTAACGTCAGAACAATGCTTGCAACTGCAATAGTTATCGTGGCTTGGCGAGCGACTAATAAATGAGAGAAGGCACCGGTAAGGGCTACCAAGCAGATTGCGATTCGCATCTTCCACTTCGACAGAGCAGATATGGCCAAAAGAGCAATCCTTTATAAAAGGTTCGAGATCAAACTAGGCCGCAAAGTAAACCGGATTGAGACAATTCTAGAACACTTTTGGGGCCCACACCCAAATAAGGTATAGCGATGGTGCACCGCCATCTGCATCTCCATACTCATGGGAAAATAACCGAGGGTCTTCCAGGCGTTGCCATTTGCAGCTAGAGTTAGTAGAAATATCGCGCATNGCTTGGCGAGCGACTAATAAATGAGAGAAGGCACCGGTAAGGGCTACCAAGCAGATTGCGATTCGCATCTTCCACTTCGACAGAGCAGATATGGCCAAAAGAGCAATCCTTTATAAAAGGTTCGAGATCAAACTAGGCCGCAAAGTAAACCGGATTGAGACAATTCTAGAACACTTTTGGGGCACCGCCATCTGCATCTCCATACTCATGGGAAAATAACCGAGGGTCTTCCAGGCGTTGCCGCCATTTGCAGCTAGAGTTAGCCTGCAAAAGATATTCAAAAGCGACACAATTCAAAATTTGGCATCTTTGAGATTATGCGCTAAAAANTAGGCCGCAAAGTAAACCGGATTGAGACAATTCTAGAACACTTTTGGGGCACCGCCATCTGCATCTCCATACTCATGGGAAAATAACCGAGGGTCTTCCAGGCGTTGCCGCCATTTGCAGCTAGAGTTAGCCTGCAAAAGATATTCAAAAGCGACACAATTCAAAATTTGGCATCTTTGAGATTATGCGCTAAAAATGTACACAAAGCTTTTCTTAACCTTTCAGCAAAAGCTGGAGCAAATTTTAGTTATAATTTGTTAAAAAAAAAAAACCTAAGGTAAAATCTCACACTCTGTCCCCACAACTCTAATAATTTATTTATATTAACCTTAGCAACTATAAATAACTTTTAATCAAAGTAAATTTTCTGGAAATTTTAAAAAGCAAGGCGAATTTTCCTATTGAATATCATTTTTTCGTTCAGATACTGCACTTCCTTATTTTGTAAGAAAATCGAAGTAAATTATAGGAAAAACGGAGTAGCGTAGTATATTTAGAGTTTCCTGGAATATGGTAGTAAATCTACTAAGATCACAGCAAAGTTATAACCCTAATTGAACAGTACAGGGCAGTGGTGGGACGGTTCATGGAAAACAAACTAGTTCAGAGCCGAATTAACTTGAAAATCCTAGGATACAATACAATACATTTTCAATACAATCGATGTGGGTGAAGGCATACATACAGGGAAACGAGCAGACTGACACATTAGCAAGGGAATCAAAAACTCCCCGCTAATAGGAATCGAACCCCGCTGTGCTACAAGGTTGCATAATACGCTGTGCGACAAAACCCCCCAAAAAAAAAAATCAAAACACACGAAACTTCGTTGTTGTTTTCTCTCTGGCGTCAGGTATTTTTTGAAAAGGACTTTGAAATTTCAAAGATATGATTAGTTCGAAAAATTATTTAAAAAATTCAGTGCTAAATAAAATAACAATGTGGATACCAAATAAAAGATAAATTTCTTTAGAATTGAAAAATATTAAATTTTTTTACTACATAAGGACGACTGTGTCCTTTTTATCTCTTGTCCTTAAGTATCCCTGCAAATTTGCAGTATTTATTTTTTGAAATATCCTCGAATTTCGCACTTCTACTTTAATTAAATGACATTTTGATATTTTTTTTTAAATTCTAATGATTATTTTCTTTCATGTGTTGCCCATATTTACTCCATTGGACTAAATTGATATAAGTCTGTAATTTTTCTAAACTATTTATTTTGAAAGTGGCATAAGTCACTTTACCGTAATGAAAAATGGTGATTTTTCCCAGACTATACGAAATTATTTATACGGTGAAAAATATAGGTATTCTAAGATAACAACTACAAGTAAATCTTTTCGAAAATTAGCATCAATATTTTTGAGTGTGTTAAAACGCAAACCCCGTACATACATCGATTTAAAAACAAAGGGACTTATACCACTTTCAAAATAAACAGCGCATTTGGTACGCATAAGAAAAATCCTGACGCCATAGAGAAAAACTAGAAACGCAGTTTTAATATTTTTTGCCTCTAGTTACGCAAATATATGGTTTTTTGTTTTTGTGCAAAATTTACGTGTGCTATCAGGGAAGAGGTAAGACCTGAGCAACGGCTGATTAGAAGATCCTTGTCCTTTTATATTCTCTTTCCGATGAGGAGGCGTTGGGAGCTACCGAGAGAAACCATCAGCGCAAGACCCATGCCACTAACACCACTAGTAGTTAGTGCAGAAGCTATCAGCCCAAACGGACTAAAGGTTTTAGTGCTAAATAAGAAGAAGGAGCCCATCGGGTCAGGTTTTTACCAGGCTTACTCACAAATTTGTTTTTGTTATTTCTAAAATTTTAATTTACAATTTTATACACCTACCGTTGAATTAATACATCTAAATACCTATATACGTACATTGACTTGTTTAGCTCCAATCCCCCAAAGCCTCTACACCGATATGGTAAGATTGGAGAGCTGCAGCTCCTCGTTGGTAAATCGAAACATTTGCTGCTCCTCCTGGTTGACGCGCACCAGCTGATCGCTATCCAAGTTCAACAGATTACTTATCGTTGCGCCACGCTCACAACTACCAACACCTCCGCCACCGCCAACGGCACCAGCATTATTCACATCGGCTGCGGCCATCATTGTGACATCATCACCAGCGTTTGGTTGCTGTGCGAAAGATGATTGCAATGGCTGATGTGGTTGTTGTTGCGGTTGTTGCAATTGCAAATGTTGCTGATAGTTTTGGGTTCGCTGTGCCATATGATTGAAGGGCAAATTCCATTGCGAATGCTGCATTGCACTTGGCGCTGTGGCGGCCAATAAATTCTGCATGTTAAACTGATTGCTGCCGCCATTGAAATTACTCATTGCTGCGGCGGCAAAGGCCAACACATTGGCAAATTGCTCCTCCCAAACGCCCACATTGGGATTGTTGAGCAGATTCTCTTGGAAATATTGTTTTTGTTGCTGCAGTTGTTGTTGCTGTTGTTGTTGCTGCTGCTGCCGATAGTGTTGTTGTCGCTGATCGCTAGGTGGCTGCTCTGGAAGCGTTTGCTGTTGACGCAGAGGATGCGTTGCGTAATTTGGCGCTGGTGGACGCAGCTGCTGTTGCTGTTGGCTGCCTCCATAGGCGCCATTCTCATTATGCTTCTCAACTGTGATGGGAGTGAGCTGTGCATTTGATGGATCGCAAGCACCTCCGCCGCCACCAGCAACTGCAGTGCGCTGATATTGATTTGGAACAGGCGGAAAAATCGGTTTGTAGGCTGCGGGTAAATTTGATTGATTTAGGTTATTCAACACGGGCGACAACGGTTCTGGCGATGGTGTCAACTCGGCAGCCGCGCGATTAATGATTGGTGATGGGTCTTCTTTGATATCCGCCTTAATCTCTGGCAAGTTTGGTATATTCCAATTCGTCAAGCGTGCATCGCCTGCCTGCTTTTGCTGTTGTTGTGGTTGTTGTTCGATTGGGCGTAGACCAATCCGTTGGCACTTGCGCCTGAGTATCACTGGATTCGAATCGACCGGTTCATATTTGAATACCCACGGCTCACTTACAGCGCCATCTGAAGGCCTTTTCAGCTGTACAAACAGCTTGACTGGTTCTGTTATGTCGACATTGCGGTAGCGCGGTGTCTTAAGCCGTATCGAAGTTTGTTTATGCACATCGGAGGGATGAAACTCGCCGTACGCTTGCCAAACAGTGACACCATTTCGCTCTTCAAAAAATCGCACCGCAATGTCTTCTTTGGCAACCTTCTCACAGAGCAACATAATTTGCGTATTACCCAAAACTGTCGCCGAACTGCAAACTTGATGTATGACGAGATCCAACTTGGATTTCTTGTCGTAGATAGGCTCGGACACCACAGGCTTTAGTGGCACTGTAAAGCGTCCCTTTTCGCCCTCAATGAACACCTGGAAGCACAAACGCACCGCATTCAGATTTATGGCGCCCGGCTGGAAGCGATGTGCGAAGCCAGTTTTGAACGGATCAACGCGTATGTCCTCGCGTGCCTTAAGCGCCGCTTCAATATCCTTCTTCTTAACACACTGTATGCCCAAGCTG